TTTATATATATATATATATATATATATATACATAGACATGCATTATTATAGATTTCACAAATAGAAGCGTTATGAAACTTACATTACAAGAAGCCCACCACTACGATAGTATTTTTCTCTCATTGTCCGATAAGCAGCAAGACTTTCGAACCCTATTCGCACGGGATATTTACCCTCATGGCGGAACATTATTTCAATGTCTTTTGGATCGAACAGCAGCACTGTTGTAAAACGTCCTGCCACATTTTCTCTAACAATTTTCCCATATTCCTGGAACTTCATGAAGTTGGATACGTGAAATCGCGTAATGTCATATTTTCCTAATATATCAACAGAACAGTGATGATATTTAACTTCAAACAACACAATTTAACGTTCTATAGAAGTAAGGAACAGTATGAAAATACTCGTTATTTTGATTTCATAATTTCCCATTGTATCGCTTGTAAAAATATTAAAGTTAGAATCTATATAATAATTTTAAAATATGTTATGCATTTTTAATGAAAAGAAAAGAACAAATAAGATAAATTTAAAACATATGCGCTTAGTAGAGTTGTAAGTAACTTCTACTACACAACAGAAAAGACTGAAACAAAACATTTAATAAATAAAAACATTTTCTTAAAGCAATGTTTAATCAACAAACTGAAACTTCTTTCTATCGGTCGGCTAGCTGTAGCTATTGACATAGGGAAAATAAGCAGGCGTCACTATAGAAACAGAACCAAGACCAATCATTAAGATAATCCTTTCTCATTATTTTATTTTACCGAACTCCAAACACTTTATTAGCTCCCAGAACACTGAGTCACAAATGCAATCACGTGAGCCTCCATTAATAGAAAGGTAAAGCAAGTTACTGATTGTACTGGCTTCACATATAATCAATAAGTTAAATACCGTGTTGAAAGACGCTCAACAAATTACCAAACAAGCAGACCAAACGCGAAGATAGACAAGTGCTAGGCTTTAACGAACAAACGTAGGAGGTAATTTTTAAAGGTAAAATTATGGAGTACAAAGTTGGATACATTCTACTAATTTTGAACTTTTAACTAAACACGGAAACCTTACTCAGATTTTGAAAACTCGTACAAATATAGATATTCATTTAATATGTTTCTACAGTGGAAAAGTTATAGCTATAGTTAATTATTTAGTTAATACATACATATATCAAAGTAAAATATATCAAAAGTTTACTTTTACTTTCCTTTGTATATAATAATATTGTTACATATCTGCTTGTTTGATAATTTCCGGGAAAAAATCTTTCCGAGAAACTTCAGCGATACAAGTCCCTTCTTGATTAAAACTAGTTCATTCTTTCTCGATACAACTTTTTGTAATACACAGAATTTCCACAGTCACTTTAAACTTAACCTTTATAACAC